TTTGTAGCTATTGTATACTATTGTTCACTTTTTTACTCATTATTTATTATTGATTACTTAGTAGCAATACCCAAAGTTTATGTCTTGTTCAAGTACTTTTCACCAACTCTGTCATTATCAAGAACCTGGTGTTGTCAGTGTGTTGAGGGCTACATCCTGACGTTTTTAGAAACCCTGGAAATATATGCGTGCAAATGAATATCAATATAGTGAAATTATTAATGAGACAATTCATTTCGTTCGTTCCTTCGCTCTCGCACTCTCTATCTCTTTCTCTCTATCCCTCTTCCCACTCTCTCTCGATCTCTCTCCCTATATATATATATATATATATATGTGTGTGTGTGTGTGTGTGTGTGTGTCTGTGTGTCTGTGTGTGTGTCTGTGTTTTACGGCTTGATATTGAAAGTTCTGACTATAATTTATGTTTAAAGGAGCAATTTTAATTAAAAGATAAAAAAATATTATTAAGGCGAAAATTTATTATTTATTATTATTCAGGCGAAAATTATTGAAAGTAATTTGCCTTATTCTCACTTTTGAATTCTGAGATTTAATTCTCGCAGACTGGTCGCCAACCAAGGCTAGAGACCCCGGTCTACTTTGCTATTTATCCCACAGATATGATGAGGAGAGGCGGGTGAGCAATGCTTTAATTCTTATTGCCTTGAGACGAGAAATCGACGAGCCGAGTTCAAATTCCAGCCGGTGTCGTTCCGTTCACTTCCGCGCAAATACCATTCGAAAAGACGTGAATCTATTCCTTCTACGCCGCCCCAAGCTATAGGTTAAATAGTAGGGCATAGTGTGCTCTTTAGTGTTGGTTAGCAACCAATGTAGAAGGTCAACTCTGAGCTCAATACTGGTTTGGAACTAGGGTTAGGGCTAGGGTTAGCCATCGCGTAAAAACCCGCTTGCTACGGAGACCACGGAAGCAACGCCACGAATTCTACGGGATTTGAGCGATGTGAGGAGAAAGGACGTTTCATGCCTTTTCGAATGGTATTTCCGCGAAAGTGAACGTAACGTACAAACCTGGTATTTGAAGTTTTTCTTCTATGTACTGGGTCCCTTCAGGACGTTGGCGATCATGACTCACCACAACTTCCTGTCCATTGTAGCTTTTAATAACTTTTGTCTTTTTGCCATCTCTCCCAAATCTTTCGCCATCATCCATTCACTCAAAAACGCCAGATAAGTTAGGCCTTGCTTTCTTCTGTCTCTCTTAACTTCAACTTAACTTTGTCCTACGAGTATCAAATTTTCCAAGCACTCATATTTTAAAGACTAAAGACTAAAGACTAAAAAATGTAGGGCAAATACCTAAACGCTATCAGTATTGACAGATGTTCGTTGATTTTCTGATTAAACGATTTTTCAATGGAAGGCAAATGTGAAATTATTGGGGTGGTGCATAATTATCAAGCGTTTTGTAGGCGAGTTATTTCTTAATAAAAAATTGTTTTGTTTACTTTTTTAATAAAAATATTTTATTTTCCGTTTGTTTGTTTTTTGTTTTGTTTTTTCATAATACATATTGTTTAAAAGCGGCTGATAATTATGCACCAACCCAATATATAATTCATTTCTGAAGAAAATTTCCTTTGGCCTTCTCGTATTATCAAAGAACATATATATATATATATATATATATATATATATATATATTATGTCTTTAAATTCCTTGTGAAACATAGAGGTGCAAGATATCGTTTTTAAGTGGATAGTTTGTTAGCCTAATGCACAACCCCCAACCTGGAGGATCAGGCTTTGAATTCAAAGTTGTCCTTCTCGTAGAGCAGTTGCCACCCAAGGCTATAGAACCCGATTTCTCCTGCTATTTACCCATTGCTTAAGGGAGAAGAAGAGGATTCTTACCTTTCCCAAGGGTATTAGCACTTCAGTTAGTCAATTATGTGCCACGCGTGATACACGCTTAGGCGATCTTTCTATACATGACTGACGAGGCAGATTTTTTCCCGCAATAGATTACCATCACTTTCTACGATAGACCAGTTGCCATCCAAGGCTATAGAACCCGGTCTGTTCTGCTATTTACCCATAGCTGAAGGAAGAAAAAGAGGATTCTTACCTTTCCCAAGGTTATTAGCACGTAAGTGAATGCAATCCGAGCCACTATCCATTAATCCACCGTGCCTCCTCTAATAAGGTATTTGCTAACACAAAAAAGGAGGCTTGAAAAGAGCAAATTGAGCGTACGAACGTGACAGGGAAATAGAGACGCGAAATGTTTAAGGCTCAACCCCGTAAATAAGACAAGGGAAATAACAAAAGGAAATGAAAGAGAAACGTTAATCAAGATGAATTTGGGAGCTTGAAGCTTTTAATAACAGAAATAAAAGCAATTCGATTGGACAATTTGAGGGAGTTGACGAGCGCCTACACAAAACCGATCTCGAACGGGATCGTTTCAATCACTTCTTCTATTAGGATATCGACATAGGCATTTGCATGATGTTTTTACGTGTTGTAGAGAAATAATTGTTTTTAATAATCAAATTCCACAAACTTTGACTGGCACTTTATACACACACGTACACATACTGGATTTAATGGATGTAAAAACTGTTAATAATCTTTTTTTGGCAAAACTGTTAGCCATTTTCAAGTTTTTCAGTTCATCTTCATATTGTGTTCACAAAACAAACTGTCGCCTCTCGGTGTTCACGTCAGTGTCTACTTTCAGATTTACATACGCTCTATCTTTGATATTGAGCACGCTTGCCCATAAAACTAGCATACGTTAAAATTATATTTGTGTCATATATATATATATATATATATATATATATATATATATATGTTATGAAATGGACAAAGTCCGACAATTATTTTAAGACATTTTTATGTTTATACATTCTTTTTATAGATACAAATATTTAAGTAAATACTCTGTTTATAATAAACAGTATTAACAACATTTACCGGTCTGAATGTCCGAGAAATTGACATACAAAAAATATTCGTTCTCCGAACCTGTATCCTATACGGAGACGTCATTTAGCCTGACGTGCGTTAACCGATTGGCCACAGAGGATCGTTCGTTTAGCAATGTCAATTATAGTTTAAAAAGCAGTAAAATATGTATATAAAATATGTATATATATATATATATATATATATATATATATATATATATATATATTATTTTGTATGTGCAGTATTTACTGGAAAGTCATCAATATTAGCGATAGAGTTAACATATATATAACTTATATCCATACAACTGAATATGGTCAGAAACTTATGTCCATACAACTGAATATATGTGTGTGTGCGTAACTCATAGTTTTAAGGTATATTATACTTATGAGTAAAACTGCTCAGCATCAAGGATAGAGTGTATTTGACAATATAAAAGTGGACTCTGAGGCCAACAAAAACCATAAAATAGACTGTAGCCATTCAGCGTTGACCTTGACAATATATATATGTGTGTGTGTGTGTGTGTGCATTTTGATCAAAAAGTATCGATATTGCTGCTATAGTAACGATGTTAAAGTACGCAGAATAAAGCTACTTTGCGCAAATTAACTTTGAACACGCATACACACTATATTCTAGCGTTCTCACTCACTGTGTGTGTGTGTGTGTGTGTGTGTGTGTGTGTGTGTGTGTGTGTGTGTGTGTGTGTGTGTGTGTGTGTGTGTGTTTCGTCAGATAAGTATTCTTAGTACTATTAAATAGAATCCTATAATTATTCAATATTATATCCTGTTTCAGTGGGGGAAATAAAAATTGATAAGGTCATTCTTGTTTATAGATTTTCTGTAAACCTCCAACTGAGGGTCGTTACTAGTTCTATGTAGCATGATATCTAGAAAGGCTAAAGTGTTGTTACATTCAGATTCAAAGCGACATGTACATGACTTGCGCAGAGGTTCGATAAGTGATAAGTTAACCGACGAGAGTGTATAGTGTTTGTGTAACCAATGTAAGAACTGAATGTTACTTTTTTAGTAGTATGAGTAGTAGTATTCATACGCGTTATGAAGATATACATCACTATTGTCGTTTCATGCCTTCATTAGATGTCCTATCCCCGATATTAAACACACTCTTTCCCGTGAATAAAGCAATGCTTTAATATAATATAATCATATATATATATATATATATATATATATATATATATATATTGTCATCCACAGACAGACTGTTTCGCTGTATCACAGCTCATCAGTGTGGCTAGACGTCCGGTTGCCTCTAGCTAGGATCGAAAATCGACTGAATTGGCGTCAGTCGGGGATATATAACATATAATCACATGTAACATAACGATTACCAATGCAGAAAGTAGAACCAACGACTCGAGTTCAAATTCCATCCGAGTATGTTGCGTTCACTTTTCACGAATAAGAAATGCATGTAACCATTTTGCCTACGACAGATTAAACAGCAAGGTAGACATGGTCCTCTAGCCTTGGCTGGGAGCCAATCTAGGAGAAAGAAATCTCTTAAATAAAAGCCGTGCAGTAGCAGCGAGAAATCACTCCACTAAATTACCCCAAAAGTCTTGGCAATTTCCAAATAATAAAGAAAAGGAATCTAAGAAGAGCGTTTTTTTTTACAGTAAGGTTCACTCTGTATAAGGCCCGGAGCCCATCGAGGTAGAATGTTACGTCAAGAGGCAGTTTATACCAATAGGAGGGGAAGATAATAGTTAAACCTAGACCTGAACAGGTTAAGATTGAAATTATGATCATCTATGTCCTGAAAGGACAAGATATTAAAAATTATATATATACATATATGTATATATATATATGTGTGTGTGTGTGTGTGTGTGTGTGTGTGTGTGTGTGTGTGTGTGTAAATTTGTGTTTCCAACCAGTGAAGTGTAAGTGAACATAAGCATACGTATATGTGTGTGTTCGTCACTCTTCGGTCTTCTATGTGTCTGTGTGTGACAGAGAGAGAATATTGGTAATTGTGTATGTGCGCGCGCGTGTGCGCTTTCGTATATGTGCTGACGTCAGGTTGAAACTTGAACCACCCTGCGGTCACCATGGTGACGGGGCAAATGCGCGCGCCAGCATATGTGTTCTTGTATATATCTACACATACACCCTCCCTCCCTCTGTCAATATATTTCTCACATTTGCCTTCACTTTCCTCTCTCCCCCCTCTCTCTCTCTCTCTCTCTCTCTCTCTGTATCTATCTATCTGCATTTGAACCCCTATGTTTATTAGGCTTTCCAGGAATCTGTTGCTATCAATTAATTTATTATTATATATACACGTATAGGTGTATCTATGTATCTATATACTTGGAAGAGTGTTTAACACTTTGCGCATGCGTGCATCTGTATCGTTACATCCATATAATCTTAGAGAGATAAAACAACCATGCAAAATAATGGTTTAATGACCAAACGTGTGACACCGACAGAAGCATAAATAAAAAATATACTAAATAAACCTCAAAGCGGGACAATAAATAAAGACAAAGCTGACAATGCAGTGATTGGGCGCGCCTCAGGGTTAGGTAATGTTTAGAAAGCTAGTCTGGTTGCCCACTAAGTAGTGGGTCCGAACCTCTTACTTCTGACCTTGTGTCATACTAAACTGAGTAATATAATAATGGGAGTGAAGAGAGGAGAAAAACAAGCAGTGAGTGAGTGAGTTAGAGAGAAATAAAAACAGCAAGGGAGAACAGTGGGCGAAGAAAAAGTAATCGGAAAATTGGGCTGAAATTCGAAAGATAATGAATGAAAGATGTCGACAGTGAATAAGAGAAACACGTAAGCCGATGAGTAAAATACCGTGTGAATTGCAAAAGAAGAAAAAAGGAAAAAGAATGAATGAAAAAAAGAAAAGAAGGAATAAAACGGATAATCGAAATTTTAAAAGAAAAAAAAAAACAGTTAACGTTTGAGATGAGCGGCTGTAAGTGAATGAATAACCGAAGAAAAGAAAAGAAAAAAAAAATAAGCAGAGATGTGAGGCGCGGGGTTTAGTGCGGCTAGCAAAGGAAGATAACGAAAAAGAATGAAAGCTATCGACTAACGCGATACTAATGACGTAAATGTCGACAGTCCTGGATCGATTTTGTCACTGTGATGATGTCGGTCGGGCGAAGATGGCGGGAAAGAGAGCGCGGGAAACTTGTTGAAATTTTCCAAGTGTGAGCATTGGTGATGACGTAGTATGCAGGAGCTCACTGGTTTGCTGACACTCACCTTTCATTAACCCCACCCACCCATCTACCGTGTTTCATCTCTAAGCATCCCTCAACATCGACACCACCCGATGGTTTGGTGTGGGGAAGTGGGGTCACAGAGGTTATGGGTGAATATTAAAAGGTGAAGATAGACGCTGTTTATTCTGAGGTGTGTGTGTGGGGGGAAGTGGATTTGATGTATCATTTATTTTAATGAAGAATAAAAATCTAATTCATTTAATTATGAGCAAATAAAAATAATTTCTATACACATGCCTATTAAAAGAAATTTTCCACTTTGTCATTAATATCCCAATATACGTAAGCAGTATATAGGGAAGTGTAGGATAGATAGATAGATAGATAGATAGATAGATAGATAGATAGATAGATAGATAGTAACAACGTGCACATAGAAATCAACACTGCATGGTGACAGTCAGTTTCACACCTTAAGAGATCATCAGGCCATTTCTGTTTCCACATTTCTGTCTTTATCTACAAATGTACTATCCCTGATATTGAACATGCCTCTCCTATAAATATAGCAAATTTAAACGATATATATATATATATGTGTGTGTGTGTGTATGTCTGCTTGTCTGTGTGTGTATGTGTAATATTTCAGTATATATATACGAACATATATCTGCGAGGAATGAGAATATTTTAATAGGTACATATATATATATATATATATATATATATATATATATATATATATATATGCATAGATATATACATATGAACAGACTAACATAGATAGATAGATAGATAGATAGATAGATAGATAGGTAGATAGATAGAAATGGAGAGAATGAAATATAGATGTATAGATATGAACAGAGTGACATAGATAGATAGATAGATAGATAGATAGATAGATAGATAGATAGATAGATAGATGACCTATAACTGCTTACTTAAGCTTATACTTTCCGAGCAGCATAATTATATAGAACAGAATTTCTGCTTAACCTTCCTAGTCATTCAGGAATCTCCCTAATAAAATGGCTACTTTTCACTATAAAATATTCCGTGTTACGATAACCTAATATTTACAATGTAAATAAATATTCACGATTGATTCATGATTCACTCTATCGTAATTGATTGCCATTATCAAAGATACTGTCCCAGCAGTAAACAGTTTTAATATTTTTTAATCTCTCTTGTATACAATAAATCTATCAACGTACATAAGATTAAGCTGTTAATTTGAAAAAGTCGACGTAAGATACGTTTTACGTCAATTCGACAGCGTGGTTATTTTATACTGTTTTTCCTACTGACGCATCAAACGTTAATGGCGTCGAATGTGCAGCGTAAAGAATGATGCTCGGCCTGTTGTAGCGTCAGCGATTGACGTCAGCAGCGCTGGCCGACGCGATTCGCTGCCGTCATTGCAACCGAGGTAGCCGTCGTTCACCGGCTTCGACGTTGGTGATAACGGCGTCGGTGGCCATGGTGAGCTGCTGACGTCACAAGTGATGTTAAAACGTAAACAGATCTTCCGTCAACAAACGTAAGAAATAAAATGAAAGAAAAGCCGGACGGGGTTGAGAGAGAGAGAGAGTAGCAACGAGAAATTCTGTGTGCTTCGCAAGGGGGTGGGGGACATAATAGATTAAGGAAATAAACTGAATGTGTTTGATAAAAAAAAAATATCAGATGAGTGTACACAGTAAAATATAAATGTATGTACACAGTTTGTAAACGTCCTTTCCTGTCTATTTCTGGCTATCGATCTTAGTCTAATACTATCATCTATATAGTAAGAGAAGATGTAGTTCATTTGCTTATCTGTTTGGTGACAGGTTACTTGATTGCAGTCTATCACTTAAGTTATAAATTATAATTAAATTATAAATATTGATGACTTATAAAAAAATGTATTTTTAATTAAATCTTCCTTCACACCTTTTCTAATATATCTTTCTCTCCCTCTCTAAATATATACGTATATGATATATATGTATCTGAAATTTTACACACACACACACACACACACATATATATATATATATAGGTTCCGTGTACGATACAGGTTCGATTCCAGTCGGAGGACACAGATTTTGTATAAAATTTATCGGACGTTCAGGTCGGTAAATATTGTTAATAGAGTTTATTATAAACAGAGCATTTACTTAAATATTTGTATCTATAAAAATAACGTATTAATATATATGTATATAATAAAAAATAATTCATTTTTCTTTGTCATATTTAACGAAAGATGTTTAAAAGAAAGGTTGCTTCCCAAATATATATTAATATATATCTGTGTGTGTGTGTGTGTGTGTGTGTGTGTGTGTGTGTGTGTGTGTGTGTGTGTGTGTGTAAGATGTCAGATATAACTAAAAATATCTCTATGAAAGGACGACTTATTTCAGCCAACGCGTTTCGTCCGCTGATGGACTTTAACAAGACAAATGTCAGGATTTGATTTTGCTACAAGAATTTACGTGAAATCTCTTTATCCCTCTCACTTCATCTGTCTCTCTCTCTCTCTCTCTCTCTCTCTCTCTCTCTCTATCTATCTATCTATCTATCTATCTATCTTTCTCCGTCTGTTCCCATGTCTCTATCTAGACTAGTTCAGATATGAACATAAATATGCAAAATATCTATCTATCTATCTATCTATCTATCTATCTATCTATCTCAGTCTGTTCATATCTATCTAACTAGCACTCTATCAGGGTAAGCATATTCCTTTAACTACATACACCTATATTTTAGGCTATATAAAATATTTCACTGCCTACATAAATATTGAAAATCTATAAATCATTCGTGACACAATGACATAATCAATCTCCCATCAATCGATCAAGCTATAGCCTTATTTATATGGTTGTCTACGTATATAATTAAAAAATATATTTATGAATGGGACATAGCATATATATATATATATATATATATATATATAGTATACACACAAATGCCGTACTTCACCTCGCCTACTGCTGACCAGTAGCTCACCATTCGTCTCAATCTGCCCTGATGATGACTTAAGAAAGTCGAAATCTCGGACCATATTTCTTCTAAAATGAATTTCTGACGGAATTACCTCCTCATTTCAAAGGGATTATTCTATTGTCTTTAATAACATTTGCCTTAAATATAATGTGTGTCTATGCATGTGTTGCGTTTGTATACATATACATATATATGTGTATGTAAAGGGTGATCATGACAATCACTAAACAGTGTTTATTCCTAGGTCCACATCGATAAACGTTCTATCTCAGATATTGAACACATAAATATAGCTAATTTTTATCATACATACATGGTGGACTCTCCCGTCGTATTCGACGTATGAGGGTCAAGCAGCTCAGTTCCTAGGAACCGACAGTTCAGACCCCAGCACATATGATTTTGATTATAGGCGATATAGGGGAAACCACACTTTTTGAAGGGCCGAATACAGAGACCAAGTTCCCGAAACAATCCTCCGCAGGTTTTGACTTCAGAGTTGTTTTTTTTATAGACCAGTTAGAAGGCTATATAGGACCCAGTCTGTTCTGCTATTTAGAGAAGAAAGGGATTCATACCTTCCCCAAGGGTAGTAGCACGTAAGTGAATGTAATGGATTCGACTGGAATTCGAACTCGGCTCTCCGATTCCTCAACCGAGCCGCTATCCACTACTCCACCATATGTATATCCTCCTAATTATTTCTATCACTTGTATATCCTTACTTGAATCGGCTTCTAATGCTCCGGACTGAGCGGTTTGGGGATGGTTGTCGTAGCTCGTAGAAGCACAGTCCTATGGTTAAAGAGAAACTCGGATGAGTTCCACCACGGAATAGTTGATCGAGCAGCGCTATATCGAGTCTAATTCGTTACCTCTTCGTTGGTATGGCGTTTGCCTCCTATCGTAACTGTTCGGGTTTCAATTCTCGGTAGTGGATGCGTACTGCTGATGAGTCCCAAATATAGGACGAAACGGTCGTCCAGTGTGTTCTGCATTCTGTTGAGGTTTCTTCTAGACTCGATGAATTACTTAATTATGATTA